TCTTAAAGACATTGCCAGCAAATTCACTTCAAACTACGATTCAATTCAAAATTGTTCTTTAGAACCTCTTAGAATTTTCTTTAGAATTGAATTATCTTTAGAAAAGCAAGCATAGATTAACAAAACTAGTTCTAGAAGAAGATCAGGATGTGTCCAAAGTTTGTTTGTTTGGTGTTTGTTAGCTGGGTTAGTTTAGATCAAAGATGACAGAACAAAGTAACTCTCATTAACCTAAATATTTTGGCAATCCATGGCTGCAATTATGCCATTAGCTGCAAAATGCTAAGAGTTCATTCAAAAGAAAAACAAAAAGAAAAAGCTGCATCGGGGAGCGAACCCTGATCTTGCCGGCGGAAGCCTAAGGCGTTATCCAATATGCCACCAATGTCCCGAGCTTCGCCTCGGAGGAAGCCCCTTAAAGCATGAAGATTGATGTTTTCGATTGAATTTTTCTTTCTTTCACTCACTCAGAGTCACTGAAATTCTCCGAAATCTCTAAAGTGTGAAAGTTGAAAAGATTACTCAAGCAAAGCAAAAAATTAAGCTCAATATGAATATTGAATTGCTTTCGTTTCTCAGTTTTGTCGATTTTGCTTCACAAATCTCAAATTCATTAATCTTTTCTCAGAAATTTCTCAGTGAATCGACTAATTCGACTAATTCAGAAGAATGAAACTTGAACTCTACGTGAAAATTTGGGAAAAAAGTGATGCCTTTTGTTTCAAAATCGTAAAACTTTGACGATTTTCTACATCGGATTTCTTTTCAAATGAAATGAATGAAATGAATGAAAGGATTAGTGAAAAAAAACGTTGAACTTAAAAGAAAATCCGTTCAATTTCTTTCATATAAGTACAAAAAACGGAAATAGAAATTTGATACGTAATAAATACTAGGAATGTCTTTGTCTTTTTCTATCTAATTTGTAAAATACAAAAGAGGATTTGTAGATAAATTTTTGTAGTTTTTAAAGTTTGACTCACGTGAGATCAAAATGAAAATTTACTGGTTTTATCAAAAAGCAAAAGTTGAATGAAAAAGTTCACTCTTCAGGCATTCTTCTAAACGCTAGCCATCTGGCGTACTATTAGTTCACAAATTTACTAGCAAAAAATACCGTACTTGATTGTGTTTGACTGCTTTTTGTGAATGCTACCCATCTAGCGCACTACCGAGTACAGTGATCTTGCTATAAGACTACAACTAAAGTAATCTTGTCCTATTGCAAAGTTTCAGTGCCAATTGTGACATCAGTGAGCTCAATTTTGCCCTACTATTACTACTACTATTCAAGTACTACTACTACTACTACTATATGCACTACTACTATTCAATGGATAATTTGAAAAAAGAAATACACAACTCAACGGCCCTAATAGTCTTCAAGATGTTGAGAAAAGCCATGGATTTAAACTAATCTAGCTCTAGGATCGGCTAGGAACGACTGGGATTGACTAGGATCGACTAGGATCGAGAAGGATCGACGAGGATCGAGAAGGATCGACGAGGATCGAGAAGGATCGGCTAGGAACGACTGGGATTGACTAGGATCGACTAGGATTGACTAGGATCGACTAGGATCGAGAAGGATCGACGAGGATCGAGAAGGATCGACGAGGATTGACTAGGATCGACTAGGATCGAGAAGCATCGACTAGGATCGAGAAGGATCGACGAGGATTGACTAGGATCGAGAAGGATCGACTAGGATCGAGAAGGATCGACGAGGATTGACTAGGATCGACTAGGATCGAGAAGGATCGACGAGGATTGACTAGGATCGAGAAGGATCGACTAGGATCGAGAAGGATCGACGAGGATTGACTAGGATCGACTAGGATCGAGAAGGATCGACTAGGATCGAGAAGGATCGACTAGGATCGAGAAGGATCGACTAGGATCGAGAAGGATCGACGAGGATTGACTAGGATCGAGAAGGATCGACTAGGATCGAGAAGGATCGACGAGGATTGACTAGGATCGACTAGGATCGAGAAGGATCGACGAGGATTGACTAGGATCGAGAAGGATCGACTAGGATCGAGAAGGATCGACGAGGATTGACTAGGATCGAGAAGGATCGACTAGGATCGAGAAGGATCGACGAGGATTGACGAGGATCGACTAGGATCGAGAAGGATCGAGAAGGATCGACTAGGATCGAGAAGGATCGACGAGGATTGACGAGGATCGACTAGGATCGAGAAGGATCGAGAAGGATCGACTAGGATCGAGAAGGATCGACGAGGATTGACTAGGATCGACTAGGATCGACTAGGATAGACTCCTAACCAATCCGCTGTGACGGAGAGATTCTTTTCTAAGTCCAAATTGTCGGGGGGTAGTCAAAACAGCGCCATAATAGAAAACGTTCAAAACAGCGCCGTCAAATTTCTCGCGATCCAAAAAAACCCAACCGGTTCAGGTTTTATCTTAAAAAAAATTCCTTGCGTTCTTGGCTACATGATGAGTGAAACAATTTCTTAAAAATAGCTAATATTTCATAGATAAAAAGGGCACTCAAAATGGGTCTCTAAAGATATTCAGTTAACCAACTGAGTATCACTCGACACACATTTTGAGTGCTATTTTTATCTATGAAATATTAGCTTTTTTAAGAAATTGTTTCACTCATCACGTAGCCAAGAACGCAAGGAATTTTTTTTTAATATAAAACCTGAACCGGCTTGGTTTTTTGGATCGCGAGAAATTTGACGGCGCTGTTTTGAACGTTTTCTATTATGGCGTTGTTTTGACTACCCCCCAAATTGTCTTATAGTTGTCTTAATTGTCTGTTAGAATATCCGGTTTTATAGTTACTTTAAGAAGTACTTGAGACTACTTGAGACACTTTAAGAAGTACGAAAGTACTTGAGACTCTGTTAAACTCGTATAGAAATATTGGGTTGGGGAGAATGAGTCGGCGCCGAAAATGAAAGAAATTTCTAAAACTTATAGCAGACTTTGTCAAATGATATGCGTTTGATATCCGTAGAAGGGTAACTAATTCTCTACAAAATAATATTTAAAAGAGAACTCAAACAGCGCCTCAACTCAACAAAGGATCATTTTTTTCACAAAATCGATAAACTGTCATCTAGAGTAAACGGTTGGAGGGATCTTCCTGAAAATTTGGTAACTTATGTAATTGAGTGTGCTCTATCTTTTTTATATAAACACCAAAGGAGGTTTATGTGGAAGAAACTGTTCAAGCAATGAGTCGGACTTTTTGTCATTTTGATTAGCTGTGTTTGGGAATCCATAAAATCCCAAAAAAGAAAAGCTTTGTGGAATCTCTCAAAAGCCATTTTGTAAAGAAATAGTGGACCATTTTGATGAAACAAAACGTGTATTTAAAGAAGGTTTTATGGGTGCAAAAAGTTTCTTTAAATTTCGGCGCCGACTCATTCTCCCCAACCCAATACCTACGATTTCTATTACTATCTATTATTTCTACTTGAGAAGTAAACGCAACTGGCAAAATCCTAGTAGGCACAATGTTTTTAAGAAAAATTTTTTGCTTTTTGCAAATCCACCTATACTTTTTTCACTTCATTTCCTTAAAACTAAGAGGTGAAAGCAGAGAATTTCATAATTTTTTTCGATTTTCATCAAGAAATTCGTATAAATGTTTACATTTTTAGAATAAATTAAAATAATAGCTTTCAAAAGAAATCTAGCTTTATGAAGAAATGTATATGAACTAAATGAGGTTATAGTGTAACGTGCTTTATCTTCTAGGGAGTCTCAATGTGGTTTATGTCTGCTCCTTCAAAGAAACAAGACTTTATTTAACACCTGAATCACCACGCAAAACACTACGTTCCACGTTAACAACACCACGTACAACAATCAAGAAATAAAACACTCACTGAGAAATGAATGAAAACAATCACTTAATAAATCACGAATCACTTGCAAAGTGAATGCGAAAGAAAAATCACTTGATCAAGAGCAAAAATGAATCGAGAAGACTCGAATGAAAGAAAAGACCACACGGAATAAGATAGGAAACCTTTTATAGCCTTTTACTTGTGCAAAAGTTACTTAGTCAACGGTTACGTACGTTCCCAAGGGCACGTTATAGAATTTAAAACCTTTAACTGACGTGTGTGAGGATCGAGAGTTCGATCAAAATGAATTTTCAGTGGTTTTTGATAAACTTTTCGACTATTTATCAAATCCGGACTGGTAATAAGATCGGATAACATTGCCGGATACTTTTCTAAATCTTTTCTAAATCAAAATCGGATACTTTTCTAAATCTATATTTATTTTTGGCTTTTTGAGATTAGGAAAAGAGATTTTACTCATAAAAATGAATCAAATTTTTAAAAGAAAGATTTCAAAGTATTCAAATATTGTCCAAATTGATCAAGGCCATATTTTTCAAGTTTCTTTTCAATTTCATTTCTCTTTTTCATCTCATTTCAAGTCTCAAAGGAACAAAATGAGTTCAAGGAATGGATTTTAGTGTCAGAATTTGTTCTAAGCCTTGAAAATTCTTCAAGAATTTGGACAAAATGAGTTTAATCATGGATTTTAGTACTAGAATCTGTTCTAAACCTTGAAGACTCTTCAAGAAATTGAACAAAATAAGTTTAATCAATGGATTTTAATGTCAGAATTTGTTCTAAACCTTGAAAACTCTTCAAAAATTTGGACAAAATTAGTTTAATCATGGATTTTAGTGTGAGAATTTGTTCCAAAGCTTAAAAACTCTTCAAGAAATTGGACAAAATTAGTTTAATCATGGATTTTAATGTCAGAATCTGTTCTAAACCTTGAAAAAACTTCAAAAATAGTCCCAAAAGAGCAAATTATTTCAATGAATGAATTTTATGAAGACAATTTCAACTGAAAATCATTAACAAAAGAAAACTTTGATGTTCCGGGTTGGGGAAAATGTCATGAAAAAGATGAGTAAACAGTTTATTTACATGAGGATCATCAAAAACTAGAGAAGTATTTAATTTTAGGCAATTCATCTCAAACTTTCAGCAAACAACAGCTTCATACGGTGGTGGAGCTGAGCAGATGACGGGTAATTGAACCGGCGCCAAGCGGCGGTCGTTTGGAGCGAGTCGATCAATGTTCGCGTTTTGCGGGTCCATTGGAGGCGCTGAAACACTTTTCGGTTTTCATTTTGATCGCTTTTCGTTCTCTATTCGATTTTTATTCATTTTAGAAAATTTAGAAGCTTTTTAGAAGCTTAGAGCTCAGCTTGGATCTCTGGAGCTCAGCTTGGATCTCTGGAGCTCAGCTTGGATCTCTGGAGCTCAGCTTGGATCTCTGGAGCTCAGCTTGGATCTCTGGAGCTCAGCTTGGATCTCTGGAGCTCAGCTTGGATCTCTGGAGCTCAGCTTGGATCTCTGGAGCTCAGCTTGGATCTCTGGAGCTCAGCTTTGATACACAAATCTTTCCTCACAATCAGTATTTGAACCAGGCTTTGACTTGAACCAAATTTCTCAGATCAGACTCTGACCCAAGCTTATCTTGTCCTTATCCTGACGTTATCCTGACCTTATCCTTAAGAATTACCCTCACCTAGACTTACTTAAACTGCTCAGAACATTGCCCTTTCGTCAGAACGTCAGAACTTACCTAGACTGGTCAAAACTTTCACCCAGTCCTAACCAAAGCTTACCCAACTGGTCACCATTCCTGTCCTGCCCCAGGCTTTCCTTAATATCCTGACCTTGTTATCCTGGCAAATTCCTTGGAAACGTCCTTAGCAACTTCATTGACAAATTCAATCTATCAAATATTACCAAATCTTTAATAAAACTTTGAATTATAGCACATAGATCTTTCGAAGACTTCATATCTTCTATATCTTCCATACCTTTCACTCAAAATAAGATTTTCTCTCGTAAACTAGATTAAGAATACTTTTACTACCGTATCCATTCATCTAAAACACTCCAGATCACATCATTTTCTTTTGTTTAGACAATAAAGGCAACTTTTGTTCATTCAATTATCTAAAACAATGAGCTTTTTTCAAAGAAATGACTAAGATTGTGATTTTTGTTTTTACGAAAGAAATATCTTGTACGGGAAGGGATCTGAAAAGTTCTCTCCAATAAAACACGAGAAATAAATCCGAGAAAGAAAAATCTAACCACAACAACACACGGCAAATAAATCAAAGAACGGGAAACTTTCGGAAATTGCTTTTCACTGCGGGAATTTCCTAGAGGATTTGTGGGAGGAAGTCCGTAAAGCTGAGAGTTTTGTGACATAATTGAAACGCACAATGTTCTTTGCTAGATTAGAATATCTACAATATATAAATGGACTAAGACATCTGCCTGCCTGCCTGTCTGTCTGCCTGTCTGTCTGTCTGTCTGTCTGTCTGTCTGTCTGTCTGTCTGTCTATCTGTCTGCCTGTCTGTCTGTCTGTCTGTCTGTCTGTCTGTCTGTCTGTCTGTCTGTCTGTCTGTCTGTCTGTCTGTCTGTCTATCTGTGCGCGCTACTCCTCAGCCCCCAGAGGACCGTTTGCAATGATTTTTGCGCCGTTGAATAGGGAATTTAATGTAGTTAGGCAACGTGTTTTTGAATTTTTTTAAACGCACAATTTGACTCGCACCGGGAGGTCGAACCCGGATTGTATGGGCAAGAGACCAGCGTGCTACTCACTGCTCCACGGCGACAAAAGCCGTCTATCCCGAAAACATCCAGGAAAATCCACCGTTAGGCGGGGTTTCTCAGCTGGTAATAATATAATAATGAGTGGGAAGTCTGTCAGAAATTGTATTGTAGAAAAAATTGGTAAACTCTATGGTCAAGCCGTCTTTTGAAAGCTACCGTAATCCCGTTTTCTCAAAAAAAAAAGATAATGAAAAAGCCAAATTTTGGCTTAAAATTCCTCAATTATCAAATAAATTCATATTATTTAAAATTTCATTTTTTTTTTCCGATAAACAAACTTTTGCACATAAAAACATGTGATTTCGAGAAAATCTTCAAGGAAAGACTAATCTTCTTTTTTTCTAGTCTTTTCTAGTCTTGTCTAATGTTTTCTAATGTTTTCTAATGTTTTCTAATGTTTTCTAATGTTTTCTAATCTTTTCTAATCTTTTCTAAGCCTTTCTAAGCCTTTCTAAGCCTTTCTTATCTTTTCATAAACATTTTCTCCTTTTTCTGTACCCGTACAACATCTTAATCATCAAAAAAAAAACTGACTAGACTTACTAGAGATTTATATGTACAAAAGTTTAAATGAAAAAAAGGAATTAAAAAGAAAATTGGTAGTTTTGTTTTTAAAAAATTGGTAAAAATCAACCTTTTCAAGAAAAAAAAGAAAGGAAAAATGATTTCATTTGAAATTTGTTTGAAAGAATTAGACAAAAAAGACAAAAAAAGGGCATTGGAATCGAGAATTTCAATGATATCAATGATTTTTCGGCATTGTTCAAAGATTTCAATGATTTCTTTTCTTGGTTTTTGTACATGATTTTTGTACTTGATTTTTCTCAGAAAAAAGAAATGTAAACGCAACCTTTCTAGTCCACATACATCGGTTTGTACATGTACATCGGTTTGTACATGTACATCGGTTTGTACATGTACATCGGTTTGTACATGTATTGGGTTGGGGAGAATGAGTCGGCGCCGAAAATGAAAAAAATGTCTAGAACTTCTATTCGACTTCGTCAAATAATATGCGTTTGATATCAGTAGAATGGTTAACGAATTCTCTACAAAATCACATTTAAAAGAAAATTCAAACAGCGCCTCCGCTCAAGAAAAAGCCATTTTTTCACAAAAACTACAAACTGTGATCTAGAAAAAACCATTGGTGGGATCTTCCTGCAAATTTGGCAACTTAAGTAATTGAATGTGCTCTATCTTTTTTATATAAACACCAAAGAAGGTTTATGTGAAAGAAACTGTTCAAATGATGAGTCGGACTCTTTGCCATTTTAACCAGCTGCGTTTGGAAGTTCATAAACTCCACGAAAGAAAAGCTTTGTGGAATCTCTCAAAAGTCTTTTTGTAGAGAAATAGTGGATCCTTTTGATGAAACCAAACGTATGTTTAAAGAAGGCTTTATGTGTGCAAAAAGTCCCTTTAAAGTTTGGCGCCGACTCATTCTCCCCAACCCAATACATGTACATGGGTTTTTCATTTGAAGGGGAGCGCGGGAGACGAGTTAACCTCGCTCTCCCGTTTCCCCAGTAAATGTTCAAACCTTTTTCTTCCGAGGACTTTCTTCAAAAGGCAATTTTCAGAAGTGAGCGTGACATTTTGGCACGAAAATGACGTGAAAACACAAGTCGAATACGGAGATCACGATAGCGCTTTCGGATTTTCGTAAGAAACCCTAGTTTTCGACGAAAAACCGTTTACCCTTAGAAGCTATCGATTAAGCAAGCAAGCAAGTCGTAATACATTCAATCGAAAATCACATTTTTTTAAACCTGCTGTATCATTCTGTATAAGTTGTATCATTCTGAAATAGTTATCTATAGTCCAAGTTTGACTCTAATACCGCATCATCAAGCTTCCTTAACATTTAGATACTGTTAAAAAGCTTTTGAATCTTTTGAAAAATGTAAAAAAATGTTTGCCACGGAGGGGACTCGAACCCGCGTGAAATAGCAGTGCACAGATTGGCGACCGCCCTCACTATCCACTAGACCACCGAGGTGCTGGTGAACGGGAGCAGGGGAGACCATTTAACCTCGCTCTCCCGTTTCCCCAGTGATGTACAGACCTTTTTCTTCCGAGGACAATTGATGAATTGATAGATGAGTGGCGGATTGGTGGTGGAAAGAGGGCATTGTCGTCATCGCATACGGATCAGCTGGAAGTGTTTCATATTCTTTCATTTTCATTCATTTTCATTCATTTTCATTCATATTTTTCTTCATTTTTCATTGATCAAATCTCTAATCACTTTGATGGAGAAGTTCTTGGAAAACACACAAAATTTTAATGCTTTGTACTCGGTCTTTCAAAAAAAAACTTCAAAACAATGTTTTCTTCGAAAAATGAGGGAAATTCGACGGGATTTCAGTAAAATTTCAATAAAATTTCGGTAAAATTCCCAATTTTTCGTTTAATAAAGGTTTTGAGAGGGGATTTGCTGACAAATTAATGAATAAGCTGCTTTTTGTCGGGCCAACATCAAGAATTTACAAATTTTTCGGGAATTTTGATGTTTGGGATCGGTTTCAATGTGCAAATTGTTTTGATTTTTGATACATTTTGGGGGAATTTGAGAGTTGATCGTTTTCGGAAACACTTTGGTGTTTGGGAATTGATGGGGATCATGTGAAAGTGGTTAGTTTTGGCTTTTCTTTGGTAGGACTTGGGTAATTGAAACAAAACAGTGAGGTTGGATCATTACGCCAGACAGTGAGCGTTTACGTCTAGAGATTCTTGTGAGTTTTATAGATAGACGTCTTGGTTTGAGTAGATCGGCTCTAAGGTCTAAGGCTTCAAGCAAGCTTCAAGCCTTGAAGCCAGAACAGGACTTGAAACCAGCTTGAGACCTCCAAGCCAGCTTCAGGATTCAAGCCAGCTTCAAGCCTTCAAAGCAGCTTCAGGATTCAAGCCAGCTTCAAGCCTTGAAGCCAGCCCAGGACTTGAAGCCAGCTTCAAGCCTTCAAAGCAGCTTCAGGCCTTGAAGCGAGCTTCAGCCTTGATGCCAGCTTCAGACCTTCAAGCCAGCTTCAAGCCTTCAAGCCAGCTTCAAGCCTTCAAGCTGGCTAGCTTCAGGCCTTCAAGCCAGTCCAAGCCTTGAAGCCAGCTTCAAACCTTCAGGCCAGCCCAAGCCTTGAAGCCAGCTTCAAACCATCAAGCCAGTACAGGCCTTGAAGGCTAGGCTAGCTCCGAACCAGTTGCTAGACCTGACCAACTTCTTCTTGGCAAATCCTTGCGTAACTGAACCAATGGCTCTAATTACCTATGATTCAAAAATTGGCTTCAATGCAGTGCCTTTTCCTGCAGTGCTTTCCCGTTTACTTTACAGTATACATTTAGCTACAGTACTCCTGATTGTTGATCGTTTAACATATTCCGGTATTCCTAGCGTCCAATCGTTACCGTTAGCTATTTTACTGGTAATTTGTTGGAAATTCGATTGTAAACACACACCAGCTAGCACATTAAAGCAAATTTTAGTAATTTAGCATTTTTTTCATCCATTACACCAGTCCAAAGTACAAGAACGTTTCAGATTACAACTACAGTGCTCTTGAACAAAAACCCCAATTATTGGGTTGGGGAGAATGAGTCGGCGCCGAAAATGAAAGAAATTTCTAAAACTTCTAGCAGACTTCGTCAAATGAAAAGCGTTTGATATCAGTAGAAAGGTTAACTAATTCTCTACAAAATGACATTTAAAAGAGAACTCAAACAGCGCCTCAACTCAACAGAAGACCATTTTTTCACAAAATCGATAAACTGTCATCTAGAGTAAACGGTTGGAGGGATCTTCCTGAAAATTTGGTAACTTATGTAATTGAGTGTGCTCTATCTTTTTTATATAAACACCAAAGGAGGTTTATGTGGAAGAAACTGTTCATGTTCATGTTCAAGCAATGAGTCGAACTTTTTGTCATTTTGATTAGCTGTGTTTGGGAATCCATAAAATCCCAAAAAAGAAAAGCTTTGTGGAATCTCTCAAAAGCCATTTTGTAAAGAAATAGTGGACCATTTTGATGAAACAAAACGTGTATTTAAAGAAGGTTTTATGGGTGCAAAAAGTTTCTTTAAATTTCGGCGCCGACTCATTCTCCCCAACCCAATTACATTTTAGATAAAAAGCAGTGTTTTGCTCTCATTTAAACACAACTACAATGTTAAACGCTACAATTTTTTATCGCTAATCCAATTCTAGAACATTATAGCAGCCTTTATTTCATTCTTTTAATGATTAAAAGATCATCAAATCTTCTGGATGAGTGAATTTTGCAATAACACAGAAAAATTTGATCTTTTTTTGTTTTCCTGAAGTGATCTTTTAAGTAATTTCTATAAATATAGAGAATTTTCAATTTTAAATTGTTTTCCGTTAGGAAATAGTGATTTTGAAGGCGATTTTTTTTTAATGATAACATTGTTTTTTTGGTTTTTAGTGATCAAAAGTTTCAAAAGTTTCAAAAGTTCCAAAAAGTTTTGTTGATTTTAAAGAAAAAGAACAAATTTTGCACAAAATTTTCGCTTTTTCTTTGTTTTTTTCATTAAGAAATGGTGATTCTGAAGGAAATCGTTGAAAAAGTGAAAGAAATGTCCAAGAGTTAGCGCATTATTTTTCATTTTACACGTAAGAGGCACTTCAAAGTGCGCTTTGTGCTTGAGAAATGTAAACGCACTCTTTCTAGTGCACATACATGGGTTTTTCATTTCCTTTTGAGAAAAACTGTGAGAATTTGTCGTCAGATAGCTGACTGGTTAAGAGTTTTGTCTCCTAGTCGGAAGATCAATGATTTAGCTAGAGCTAGACCTGCTTAACGAGTCCGGGCAAACTTTTCAGACAGTCTGCCTCGCTCTTCGATTTTTCACTGCTCAAAGCTCCTTCAAGCATGAAACCCAGTTCTTCCGAAAGTCCTTATTTCAAGCTCCATTTTGATACTAAACATGGCTAGATTCTGTTTTGCCATTCTTTAGATTTCGATCAATCTTTCACCGGACTCGATAAGATAAAAGATTTGTCAAAATCAAATATTTGTCAATAAACTCATCATTTCAAGTGAGAAATCTTGATGATTCGATGAGGTTAACCCCAGAGATTCGTTGTTTTTTTAAAAAATTCTTAATTAGAGTGATTTCTGAGGAAAATCACGAGATTTCCACGAGAATTCTTTACCAAAATTCACCAAATTCAAATTCAAAGCTGGTACGGGGTAACAATTTCACTTTCGTAAATCCGAAAACCGGATTTCATTATAAAAAACAAGCCAAAACGCCTTCAGAAAGGCGGATTTTCATCTTATGAATGAATTTTAAAAATTTGAGGTCAATTTCTCTATACTTTGTTTGATTAGTTGGTCAGAAAAGGATTTAGAGAGAGAATAATTAACGAGAATTAACGACTCCAGAAAAATTTTTGATCTAAAATGATCGAAATCTAAAGAATGGCAAAACAGAATCTAGTCATGTTTAGTATCAAAATGAAGCTTGAAATAAGGGCTTTAGGGAGGACTGGGTTTCATGCTCGAAGGAGTTTTGTGCAGTAAAAAATCGAAGAGCGAGGCAGACTGTCTGAAAATTTTGCCCGGACTCGTTAAGCAGGTCTAACTAGATCATCTCTTCTCTACTGCTCAAAGCTCCTTGGAGCATGAAACCCAGTTCTCCCAAAAGCACTTATTCTAGGCTTCATTTTGATACTAAATATAGTCAGGTTCTGTTTTACCATTTTTTAGATTTCGATCAATCTTTCGCCGGACTTGATAAGCTTAACAAGTCCAGCAAAATGATCGAAATCTAAAGAATGGCAAAACAGAACCTAGTCATGTTTAGTATCAAAATGAAGCTTGAAATAAGGGCTTTAGGGCCCCCCCCCCCCCCCCCCCCTCCTCCCCCCTCCCCTTTCTTTTTCTCCTCCTTTTTTTTTTTTTAATTTTAAAAAAAAAAATTAAATTAAAAAAACTTTTACAGCCAATGAACTGGCATTGGCTGACATGAATTTTGCTCAAAATCAGCTCTTAAACCTTTTCATTATGTTCAGCTCAAAATCAGCTCTTAAACTTTTACATTAAGCAAGCTATCTAGCTTTTCAACAAACTAACATAATCTAGTCTTATTTGTTTACAGTTTAAGAATCAGTTTCAGAAAAAAAAGCTTGAGCACAGTGGTTGGGATGAATTTTTTTTAAAATATCAGCTGAAAAAAGAAAAGATTACATTGTGGCGGCGGTCGATAAGTCGTCGCTTTTACGATTTTCTGACGTTTTCGATGTCTAAAAGGTAAATGACAATAAAAATGATGACAATAATAAAAGTTTAGATGATTTTCGATTTAAATCTGTCTTTTTGGGGGGCTTTTCTTTGAAATTCTTCAAAAATCGCAGAGAAATGATTGAGAAAATTCGAAATGAATTTTCTGAGTTAAAATCAAGGAAATTTTGAAACGGTTTTCAGTGGATTGATTTAATTTTTAGCTTAAATTCATTCGAATTCGTTTACCTGTTGTGAAAAAACAAAACCAAAGCCGCTAACGCCACCGGGAGTGAGCAAGCGAATAACAGTGTGTTCATCGAAGAATTCTAAAAGAATTCTAAAACCCATTGACTCTAGAGAATCGTAAATAATAGGAAAATTATCAAAATGATCAAAATTTAATCTAGAATTGGTAGAATATACAAAAAAAAGAGTACAATAGCAGTTTTCAAGGAAAAGAATTGGTTGAAGTTGAAAAAATTGAAATTCTTAGGTTTTTTTTGTGTTTTTGACTTGAAAAACAGCTAGAATTTCTTTAAAAAATTCTTGAAATTCTAATTCTACTACAAAAATAGATAGATTGAATAAAAATATGCACAAGATTACGGTAGGAAAGAGAAAAGGACAGGTTGTAGAGAACGGATTAGAAGAGAAGGCCGATTCTCTGATCATAATTGTTTCCTAAGCGCTTCAAAAATGTTACAGTCACTGGATTAAGGTAGCTTATGGGTTACGCTAGCTTTTGGCTTAGCTTATGAGCTACGGTAGCTTATCAGTTATGGTAGCTTATGGGTTCCGGTAGCCTACGGGTTAAAGCAGCTTATGGCTTAGCTTATGGGTTACGGTGGCTTATGGATTACGGTAGCCTATGGGTTCCGGTAGCCTACGGGTTAAAGCAGCTTATGGCTTAGCTTATGGGTTACGGTGGCTTAGGAGTTACGGTAGCTTATAGTCTACGGTAGCTTACAGTAGTTGGTTCATGGGCTACAGTAGTTGATTAAATTATTTAAGGTCTTAATGGGTTACGGTAGCTTAAAAGCTTTACTCAAAAAGCTTTAAATAACCAGGTTACGGGTTTTTTTCTAACGAGCGCATCTCATAAAATTGATAAAGATAAGATAAAATTGTCCGGTTCAAGGATCTCAAAAAAAGTACGGTAGTGTGGAGTAGAGTTGAAACACTATTTACTACATTATAAACTTCTCTACAGTATAAACTAGATAATTCTACATTGGGATAACTAGATCAGTCATTAGAGTACTGTAGTTTCTGTAAAAGAACTGTAATTCAAGTTTTTGTCGAAGAAAAGTTTGCGAAAAGTTTGAGAAAAGTTTGAGAAATCAAATTAGAGACCTAGAATCTCCTGGTTGTTGATCTTTTCATTGAAAAAAAAGGTTTGGAAAAGAAATGGATGGAAAAGCTGAAGTGAAGAACTGATCGGAAAGGGGAAAAGAGAAATGGAAAGAGGAATGGAAAGAGAAATGAATGACAGAAAGTGATCCAGTTCTTCACATTCGCACACCATTCTTCTCTTCTCTATTCAACTATCTAAGTCTTTTCTTTTGCCGTCACCGATCATTGTTTGGCTGTGTTGTGTTGTTGAGAATTTGCATGGACTGAAGAGCGATACTGAGCAATACTGAGCGATACTGAGCACTATTGACAATACTTTTGTTTTGTTACTTTACAAGTTATAAATGTCCAAATTTACAGCTCAAGATCTTCTTTTGAAGTCAGAGAAAAATCTCAGAAGAAAAAGGTGTTCTTTGGGAGGAAAAGCTGAAGTAGATTGTTCTTTTCAATCTTTTGAATCTTTTGAATCTTTTATATCTTTTATTTTGTTCTTCTTTTGGATTTTTCAGAGCAATCAGCTAATAGGATTTGAATTTTGAGAAGACTCTTGTCTACTCTTGTCTATTCTTGTCTATTCTTGTCTATTCTTGTCTATTCTTGTCTAATCTTGTCTATTCTTGTCTATTCTTGTCTATTCTTGTCTAACCTTGTCTATTCTTGTCCACTCTTGTCTACTCTTGCCTACTCTTGTCTATTCTTGTCTATTCTTGTCTATTCTTGTCTAATCTTGTCTATTCTTGTCCACTCTTGTCTACTCTTGCCTACTCTTGTCTATTCTTGTCTATTCTTGTCCATTCTTGTCTAATCTTGTCTATTCTTGTCCACTCTTGTCTACTCTTGCCTACTCTTGTCTATTCTTGTCTATTCTTGTCTATTCTTGTCTATTCTTGTCTAATCTTGTCTACTCTTGTCTACTCTTGTCCATTTTTAAACGAAAATCTTCTACCGATTATCTTCCGACTTTTCAATCTTCTACCAGAAAAGTCTACCAGATTTTTGACCACTTATTCTCTCTCTAAATCCTTTTCTGACCAACTAATCAAACAAAGTATAGAGAAATTGACCTCAAATTTTTAAAATTCATTCATAAGATGAAAATCCGTCTTTCTGATGGCGTTTTGGCTTGTTTTTTTATAATGAAATCCGGATTTCGGATTTGCAAAAGTGAAATTGTTACCCCGTACCAGCTTTGGTAAAGAATTTGGTGAATTTGGTAAAGAATTCTCGTGGAAATCTCGTGATTTTTCTCAGAAATCACTCTAATAAAGAATTTTTTTTGAAAAACCGATTTCTGGGTTAAGCTAATCGAATGATAAAGGTTTTAGAGTGAATAGAATTTTCTAAATAAGAAATTTAACTATATAAGAATCATAAGGATTAACTTACAATGAAAATCGAGATTTTAATTTACCTCAATGTCTTTGATTTGCTTTGTGAGTGGGGTCCGTGCACAATTTTGTAAGCTGGCCAACGGTTGACGAACTTCTTGACCTGTTGACCTGTTGTCGATTTTCTTGAACTAAAACCTTGTCTACCGGATTTGCTTTTTTGACCACTTTCTCTAAATCCTTTTCTCTGACCAACTAATCAAAAAGTATAGAGAAATTGACCTCAAATTTTTAAAATTCATTCATAAGATGAAAATCCGTCTTTCTGATGGCGTTTTGGCTTGTTTTTTATAATGAAATCCGGATTTCGGATTTGCAAAAGTGAAATTGTTACCCCGTACCAGCTTTGGTAAAGAATTTGGTGAATTTGGTAAAGAATTCTCGTGGAAATCTCGTGATTTTTCTCAGAAATCACTCTAATTAAGAATTTTTTAAAAGCCAACCAATCTCTGGGTTAATCTGATCGAATGACCAAGATTTCTCACTTGAAATTATGAGTTTGTTGACAAATATTTGATGTATTTGTTGGCTTATTTGGAAAAGAATTAGAATCTTTGTTGAATCATCTTTGTTTTTAGGGTTTTTGATTGAAAATGTGAAAATGATGAACGACAAGCGATTGATCGGCCGACGAACGATTGGCACGATTGACAAAACAAAAGTATTGCTGTATTGCTCTTCAGTTCTTGCAAATTCTCAACAACAACAGCCAAACAATGACCAGTGACGGCAAAAGAAAAGACTTAGATAGTTGAATAGAGAAAGCTAGCCGTATTGAAGCGAAATAATGAATGGAGATTCCTTGGTCAATGTATTTTGATCGGAGTTTCACAGCTCGACCTACAGACGTCCGATCGACTTTCAGTTGGTGTCATTCGATTCCGCATCAAATTCTACTATATAGAGATCAATATTTGATTGAGCGTTTACCTGTAAGAATATCGAGAAAACCAGCGTTATACATGACTCCGATCTCTTGTTCGGAGTTATGTATAATGCCGATTTTCTTGATATTCTTACAGGTAAGCGCTCAATCTAATATTGATCTCTATATAGCAGAATTTGATGCAAAATCGAATGACACCAACTGCAAGTCGATCGGACGTCTGTAGGTTGAGCTATGAAACTCTCTTTTTTTTCCTTTATTTAGGTCAAAAAGTTCGTCAACCGTTGGCCAGCTTACAAAATTGTGCACGAGTCCCACTTACAAAGCCAATCAAAGACATTGAGGTAAATTAAAATCTTGATTTTCATTGTAAGTTAATCCTTATGATTCTTACATAGTTAAATCTTTTATTTAGAAAATTCTATTCACTCTAAAACCTCCATTTCAAAACCTTTAAAATTCTATTTACTCATTCGATTAGCTTAACGCAGAGATCGGTTGGTTTTTTTCTTTTATTAGAGTGATTTCTGAGAAAAATCACGGGATTTCCACGAGAATTCTTTTCCAATTCTTTTCCAAATCATGTACGAGGTAGCAATTTCACTTTCATAAATCCGAAAGCCGGATTTCATTATAAAAACAAGCCAAAGTGCCTTCAAAGAGCCGGATTTTCATCTGATGAATGAATTTTAAAGATTTGAGATCAATTTCTCTCAACTTTTTGTTTGATTAGTTGGTCAGAATAAAAGGAGAGAGAGAGAGAGAATAAGTGGGCAGAGAACAGACAAAGCAGACAATCCGGTAGACAAGATTTTAGTTTTAAAAAAATCGACAACAGTGGAAAGAAGGGGTTTCTCAAGATTCAAATGCTACTTGCGAATTGCTCTGTGCAATCGAAAACTAGCTAGTGAGATGAAATTTGAATGTTGGACTGCCCTGAACTGCCTTGGACTGCCTTGGACTGCCTTGGACTGCCCTGAACTGCCTTGGACTGCCTTGGACTGCCCTGAACTGCCTTGGACTGCCTTGGGCTGCCCTGAACTGCCCTGAACTGCCTTGGACTGCCTTGGACTGCCTTGGACTGCCCTGAACTGCCTTGGACTGCCTTGGACTGCCCTGAACTGCCTTGGACTGCCTTGGGCTGCCCTGAACTGCCCTGAACTGCCTTGGACTGCCTTGGACTGCCCTGAACTGCCTTGGACTGCCTTGGGCTGCCCTGAACTGCCCTGAACTGCCTTGGACTGCCTTGGACTGCCCTGAACTGCCTTGGACTGCCTTGGGCTGCCCTGAACTGCCCTGAACTGCCTTGGACTGCCTTGGACTGCCCTGAACTGCCTTGGACTGCCTTGGGCTGCCCTGAACTGCCCTGAACTGCCTTGGACTGCCTTGGACTGCCCTGAACTGCCTTGGACTGCCTTGGGCTGCCCTGAACTGCCCTGAACTGCCTTGGACTGCCTTGGACTGCCTTGGACTGCCCTGAACTGCCTTGGACTGCCTTGGGCTGCCCTGAACTGCCCTGAACTGCCTTGGACTGCCTTGGACTGCCCTGAACTGCCTTGGACTGCCTTGGGCTGCCCTGAACTGCCCTGAACTGCCTTGGACTGCCTTGGACTGCCCTGAACTGCCCTGAACTGCCTTGGACTGCCTTGGACTGCCTTGGACTGCCCTGAACTGCCTTGGACTGCCTTGG